TTGTCGTGGAGAAGAATAGACGACCTATTTTATACAAAATCCGTCGTGTAAATAAATACAATACGTCTTTAAATAAATAAAATATGACGTTATTAAAACATACGACGTTTAATATATTTATATAACCGTCGTAAAATAGTTTTTCCACTTCATTTTTTCCATTAATATTGACGTGGAAATAGCGGTTAGGGTAAATAACCATCGTTGTTATAACAAACAACGTCATTAACAAAAAACAACCGACGTCTGTATATTGAAAAATGAACCAAAAAATTGTCGTGGAGAGGATTAGACGACCTATTTTATACAAAATCCGTCGTGTAAATAAATCCAATACGTCTTTAAATAAATAAAATATGACGTTATTAAACCATACGACGTCCAATATATTTATATAACCGTCGTGAAATAGTTTTTCCACTTCGTTTTTTCAATTAATATTGATGTGGAAATAGCGGTTAGGGTAAATAACCGTCGTTGTTATAACTAACAACGTCATTAACAAAAAAAAAACCGACGTCTGTATATTGAAAAATGAACCAAAAACTTGTCGTGGAGAAGAATAGACGACCTATTTTATACAAAATCCGTCGTGTAAATAAATCCAATACGTCTTTAAATAAATAAAATATGACGTTATTAAAACATACGACGTCAAATATATTTATATAACCGTCGTGAAATAGTTTGTCCACTTCGTTTTTTCCATTAATATTGACGTGGAAATAGCGGTTAGTGTAAATAACCGTCGTTGTTATAATAAACCAGGTCATTAACAAAAAAAACCGACGTCTTTATACTGAAAAATGAGCCGAAAAATTGTCAAGGATAAGAATAGACGACATATTTTATACAAACTCCGTCGTGAAATAATACAATACGTCTTTAAATAAATAAAATATGACGTTATTAATATATACTACGTCTCATATATTTACATAATCGACCTGGAAAATATGTTAGGCTCATGACTTACGACATATTTATTTCTATAAACGACGTAGTATTTAATATACAACGTCGTGATCATGTAAAAGACAGCTGTGTTTCTCTATTTATACGTCATCTTCAGGTTCGATATCTGTCATTTTAGACGTCGGTATTATGGTACTGGAGTCGTGTTATTTGTAATTACATGTCGGCTCTTTATGCTTCTCCGACGTGATATCGTTAATAACTGTTTCACAATAACGTCGTCTTTCTTCAATTTTAGTTCGCTTTTAGACGTCGGTAAATTCAATGCCATCGTTGAATGCTCCAAAACGTCATTTTTTATTGACAATTTTATGAAAACAGACGTCTGTTTTTCACAGTTTTATGAGGACCGTCGTTTTATAATACTGAACCAGTATTTTATGTACTGATTGTTTTGTGGCAAAAACCTGCATAATGAAAGTGAAGAAAACACATTACAATTTATTACAAAATTAATGTCATACAGTAGTGCTGTTTAGGGCATAAGTAATTTCATAAATTACAAGAGCATCATTCAATCCATATATCTTCACACCCATCTCGAATATTTTGACTCCCAAACTCACCCACTAGTTCATCAAATGTGTCAACATTTGGCATCCCTCTAGTAAATGGCTCACACTCAATTCTCACATCACCTAAGACATCATCACCAATAACATCATTATATTCTCTATTAGGCGCTGATAACACTACCGACCAACCATGATGCATCGGGTCGTCAACAAAAAATACTTGTTTGACTTGAGAAGCCAAAACAAATTGGTCATTCCGATGTCCAATTTTACTCAAATCTACAAGGGTAAATCCAAGTTCGTCAACTACAAGGCCGGAAGTACTATCTACCCAATCACACCTAAAGACTGGGATTGTAAACTTTTGGTAGTCAAGGTCCCAAATTTCTTGAATGACACCATAAAACCCATATTTGAGAGAATTGGGTTTTTATCCTTGGCACTAGCAACTTGCATAGTATGTGCAAGTAAATAAACTCCACTATTTTCACTACGCCAAATTTCACTTTCAGCAACACTACATAGGCATCGGTAAAACGAAAATCGATGCTATTAGGATATCAGGTATCGATTTTATAAATAACGATACTAAATAGGTACAAAGACATTAGTACGAAGTTTTGGTTTTTTATGACGATGCCTTTGATTCCCTTTAGCATCATCTCTCATAATCATAGATGCCTAAAGTGATTTGCCTTTTTTTTTTTTTTAAAGAGGTACATTTTTTAAAAAAAAGCCACCGTTGCCTAAAGGGTAGTCAACGCTAGTCCAAAATTTTTCACGCTCTCCCTCTCAAACTCTCGCCCTAACTTCCATCTCCCTCTCAATTTTTTCAATCCTCTCTCGCCCTAACTTCCATCTCCCTCTCAATTTTTTCAATCCCTCTCAAACTTTCGCCCTAACTTCCATCTCCCTCTCAATTTTTTCCTCTCCCTCTCAAACTCTCTATTTCTTCTCTCTCCTCCATCACTGCTTCTTTCTCTCTCAGATGTTCCGACTATGGCCGGTGCTTTCCTCAGGGCTAAAGCCCAGCCACCCTTGCCCATCCCTCAGCCGCGGCGAGCTTCGAAAGGTCGCCTTTGGTGCATGAGAAACCTTCAAATTTTAGTAGAGTCTTTCTAGTTTCTCTACTGGACACCTTTGGTGCGATGCCAAAAGCCAATCTGAGTCTGGATCTCGTTTTTCTTCCTATTTGTTCCTATAAATGTTAAATCTGCTTCTTCAGAGTTCAAATCGTGCTCTGCGTGTTGCTCTCTCTCTCTCCCTCAATCTCTCTCTTTAATCTGGAAACTTCTTAGCTGGTGCGCTCTTTGAACTTGTACTTGATTTTGATTTTGATTTTGATTTTGAGTTCAACTTTGATGTTGATTTAGGGTTCGAATGTGTTTTTGACTTTGATTCAGCTCAAGACCTCTAAGGTATTTTCTTTTTGTTCTCTCACTCGGTGACTCTGGATTTGGGGTTTCAAAAGCTAAGCAATGGAAGGGCAGATTAGGGTTTCCAAAATTGAGAGAATGATGGAATTGGATTTTGATTGGTTTGACCCACTACTCCGGCGTCGACTTTTTGGTTGATCGAATGCATCTTCGATGCTTTTTCTTACTCGCTCTCACGACTTCTTAGGCTTTCCTATTGTGTGTATTTAACTGGTTCATATGATGCTGTTTCTTCAGGACTTCATTCAGAACTTGGCATTGTTTCTCACTTCATTTTACAAGGCAAGTTTTTTCTTTTTCAGATGAATATGTTGATATATTGCCTTGCCTTCACCAGCCGTATTTGGATATGATAGTTCTGCTGTTTGGTTTATGTTGTGTCAGGATCTTTAAGCTTTATCTATTGTGTTGTCTATAATTATTGTTTACCCATCCATAAAAGAGTTTGCGATTATGATTAATCTTTAAGCCTCCAATGAGGATGTTATTAATTGTCTCCTTTTCTTTTTGCAGTCACATATTCGTGTGCTTGAATTGAAACCACACAACAGAATATAGCCACATTGCTGATGGGTCTTGAATATCTAATAAACATCTCATATGTGGATGACACTGGAGTTTTTAAGGTATAATTAATTATGATGTGCTCTCTAGCACCCACCCGAAGGCCCTATTTGGCTCTTTCTCTCTCTCTTCCCATTTGATTAATGAAGTGATAATTTGACTTGGAATTGGTTGTTTGTTCGAGCAGGTTTGCTTGGAATATTAGAATTCCTTGGTTTTGGAACTATTTGAGTTTCATAATAATTTGGATAATCCTGCAGCAGCTGCAAATATGATGGGGCTGCAGGTAATTTAGATACTTTTATCTTTGAAATTTTTGTTGGTTTGAGTTTTCTGTTTTCTACTTTGTATGAATGCATCCTCAAATTTTACTTGAATCCCCCTGTTTTTCTTTAGTCTATATTGACCGTAAGTTATCTTTTAATCTCTTCGTAGTTGAATAAAGATGTATGGTTTGAAATTGGTAGTAGATAGGTAAGTCTTTTCTAGGTTTCCATCAACGAGAAGGTTTTGTCTAGGAAAACACCAATTTATCATCTCAGCACTTGCAAACCTTCCATATTGAAAGAGACTGACTGCTTTTTACCTTTGTGATGATTTTGTTTAACTGTATGTTTAGCTAGAATGGCTGTGGACCGTATAACTCAAAGACCCAAAGGATTCGGTTTTGTCACTTACAAGTCAGATGTTGAGGCACAAAAAGCTTTGAAGGCCATGAATGGCAGGGTAATTTCCTTCTTCCCTATGGTTAAAATTTTTAATTTTAATTTTATAAATGGGCAGGCCTCCTTGCTGTGATAAAGAAGGGGTCAAGAAAGGACCTTGGACTCCTGAAGAAGATATCATTTTGGTCTATTACATTCAAGAACATGGTCCTGGAAATTGGAGGGCTGTTCCTACCAATACAGGTTTATTTTCTTTCTCTTCTGTTTCTTCTGTTGCTTTTTGTTTGAGTAAAAATATACTTGGTTTTCACTTGATGTGCCAGTTTTGTTAGCTTCTGTATAATTTTGAGATGAAAAGGCAGGATATTTCATTTTGGCGCTACATTTAAATTATTAAAAGTACAGCCATTTTGGTATTTTGTTAGTGAAGCATTAGGGTGCGGTGATCGTACTATTTTGGCATTAAACTAACACATCTTTGTTCTGATTTGGTAAATTGACTCATATTATAATTGTTTTTGTGCCAAATTGCATATCATATAGCCCTTATACTTGCGCATTCTAATCTTTTATGTACTGAATATGTGTTTTTCGTTGATCAAATTTCCTAGTCTTTGTTTTTGTCATATGTTTTTAAATTGTATTTTTTTGTGAACACCTTCAGTCTTGTTTTTCTCTTTCAAAGTTTTTGTTAAAATTTGTCCAGATGGTTGATGGGAGGCTGATTTTTGTTGAAGTTGCCCAGAGTCAAAAACAGGAAGAGGATACCAAATCTAGATAATGACCTAATTTTTTCTCTATGTTGTTCAAGATGTGTTAACTTCTCAAGATGTGTGCTCTTTTTGTTTTTGTGCCAAATTTGCATATGCTATGTCTCTTTATATCTAAATGCATATCCTAATTCTTCTTATTATGTTTTTCTTCTTTTTGTTCTCACTTGATATGCTGAGGTCTGGTTGCATATGGTTCACCATTGACTCGAATCTTACTCTTAACAGAAAAATTTGGCTTACTCTCTACTCCATCACATAATCATTTAATTCCTATTTAAAACATGAAGTGGGATCCATTTAATGACTTCTTGTTATCTAATTAGATTGGTTGACAAATTAGATTTTTCTTGTTCACCAATATGATTTGGTAAATTTGAAGTGACAACATATCTTAAGCAAATTTAGTACCTTGCACTTTTTAAGCTTATGTTCATATTTCTGCTATTTGTGTTTACATTTTACATGCTTTTTTTTTTCTTTTTTCAGTGTAGAGCTAGACGGAAGACACGTACACCTATATGGAATTGGATGAGGTGCGAGAAGAATTGGCAACTCATGTCCTATAATGGCTTTTTGATTGAACGAAACATTCCTCCTTCATTTTACATGTCTTTCTAGCTAGTATTTTGCGTATATCTAAGTATGAATAATTTGTGGTGTGGAGTTGGAAAAATTGTGATTTGGATGTGACAAGTGGTTCATTCAAGTACTTTGCTTATATATATATATATAGACAAGTATGGATATATTTAAATTACTGTTTATATATATGTTTTTTATGAGCAATGGCAACACAACATGATTTGGAAATGAGGCCTTTCTTAAATACTAACATAGTAACTAAGTAAAGTGTGATGTGAAACAAGCAAAATACCTACCCTTTTCTTACATAAGTGATGCCTATTGTTTATAACAACTTCAGTTTTCCATAAATAATTGAAGTTGAAAGATAAAAACAACCACCAGACATCTATATCACTGATGCCTAAAATGAGAAGTAGCATTAGCATTTATGTAATCAACAACACTATTGGAGGCTTTTTGCTTCTGCAAAATAAAAAAAGCGATGATGTATAATATAATTCACAACACCATTATTTGTTTTTACGATGTTGTAATTGATAATAAGCATCGGCATAGTAGATGTCACTGATGTTGTTAGACCTCTCTAGCCTCACCCATTTTGAAACTACTGATGCTGTTTCAGGTTTAGGTGTCAGAAGTCAACCTTTTTTTGGCACCTGGAATTCATTTACGCATCGGAGTTTACCAAATATCTGATGCAGTAAGTGACAAACAGCGACGGAGAAAATCCGTTGCCTATTACATAGTAATAGGCAACAGGCTTGAATACCACGGTATTTATCTGTAATAGGCAACGGATTTTATCCGTTGCTAAAGCCCTTTTTTGGCATAGTGTTTGAACTGTCCGCACATCATCTTGTGCCTTGATGTTAAATTTAACACCTTTAATAAGATAGCTCCTATATAATGGCATTGCCATGTTTGGACCAGCTGCTAGCCACCTTAAATTTTCTGATACCCCATGATTGCCTCTCTCATCAAGTTCACTTTGAACCTGCAAATTAATCATATCTTAATTCAATCTAACATAGAAAGACGAAAATTAAAAGTCCAATATGTTATTGAATAACATATACCTTGAAGTGTAGCCATTGAATAAAAGTTCTATTGTGCTTATCTTGCAGCCACTTTGTTCTCTTTCTAAATTTTGGATAAGCGGCCTTGATGTGGATCATATGTTCCCTACATGACACGAAAAATTCAAGCATTACGGTCCCAAACATATAAGATAAACATAAGGAATAATTTAAAATGGAAACTTAAAGAATAAAACTCATACTCGATATAAGGTAGGACTTCCTCCGTATTTTCCAAGACATATAGATGTGCTTGGTTCAACATGTCCCGATCAACTAAGCTCACTGTGCAACCTGCTAATGGCTTTGAAACTCCTATCTTCTGACTTGATGGCACTCCAGTTGTACTAATATCAGATAAATGTTCAGTGCAAAATTCTATAGCTTCTTCAGCTATATAACGCTCAGCAATGCCCAACCTTCGGGATGAGTACGGTTCTGAACATACCCCTTTAGAGCTTTCATATATCTTTCGAACGGATACATCCATCTAAAATAAATTGGCCCACATAGACGAACTTCTCTGACAAGATGTACTGCTAGATGAACCATGATATCGAAGAATGAAGGTGGAAAGTATTTTTCAAGCAAACACAAAGTAACTACTATATCTTCTTCCAACTTATCTAGCTTGGAAACATCAACCGTCTTTGCACATATAGCATTGAAGAAGAAGCACAAACGAGTTATTGCATACCTTGCAGGCTTCTCCAAAACAGAACGAATTGCCACAGGGAGCAATTGTTGCATTAAGGTATGACAATCATGTGATTTAAGGCCAAGAAGTCTTGAATCTTGTAAAGTTACAAGATTTTTTTATATTTGAAGAATAACCTTCAGGGACCTTCATACCATAGAAAGAATTGCAAACCGCTCTCTTCTCTGCTCTTGACAAATTCCAAGGCCCTGGAGGCAAACGAGTACTTCTTTCTCCATACTCGGGTTGCAAATCAGTTTTGACCCCCATGTTCAATAAATTTAACCGAGCAGCAATCCCATCTTTATTTTTTCCAGGGATCTCCAATGATGTACCAATGATACTATCACAAACATTCTTCTCAATGCGTATAACATCTAGGACATGCCTCACTGGAAGGTATTTCCAATACTCGAGATCAAAGAATTTTGACTTCTTCTTCCAACAAACTCTGTCACCATCGTTTTCACCTCCACCTCCCCCTTTTTTCGATCCCCATATGTAATTAATATCTTCAACCATATGCAGCACTTCTTCTCCCCTTAATGGCTCCAGAGGCGTGCCATATTCAGGTTTCCCATTAAAAGCTGCACGTTGCCTCCTATATGGATGATTGATTGGTAACCATTTTCTGTGCCCAATGTAACAAATTTTGTTGCCATTTTTCAACATGTGACTAGGTGTATCATCGCCGCATATTGGACAAGCTTTATATTCTTTAACAACACAACCAGATAAGTTTCCATAGGCGGGAAAATCATTAATGGTCCACAGTAATGCAGCTCTGAGTGTAAACTATTCTCCTATGTGTGCATCATACACTCCTCTAATCCCATCCCACAAAGATTTTAAATCATCAATAAAAGGCTCCAAGTAGACATCTATATCATTTCCGGGTTGTTTAGGACTGGAAATCAATAAAGTCAATATCATGAACTTTCGTTTCATGCACAGCCATGGTGGGAGATTATATGCAACTAAGATAACTGGCCAGCAACTATATCTGCTACATAGAGAACTGTGGGGATTGAATCCATCAGATGAAAGAGCCAATCTCAAGTTTCTCG